ATCTCAAGTGAGACATATCCATATCCACAATGTAATTCAATAATTCCAATACAAATGCCGCCATGTGTACAGTATGGCGTCCGATCTCGGCCCGATCGGCTAAGCCATCTCACTTGAGACGTAACCTCTTTCAACTGTCCACTCAATTCACATTTCTTTCCCATCTTCATTACATGGCACAAACAACCTCATTTATTAAGTAGTTCTTGGCACTTGGACACATTTAACAATTCAAGTCTTTCCCTTTGTATTTGTTCAAATAACATCATCATTCATGTCGATAAGTACCATCACATAAGGCATTTCACACATAAGGGAAGGAGCTTGGGAAATCATAATTACGTTCTCAAATAGCAAGATGACATGGTAACCATCTAAAATAATGAGGGAACATGAATCTTTCAATCAAACACACTAAGGCAAACAATTCTAGTATAATCAAGTTAGAACTTACACCAATTATTTGGATACCAGGAGTTCGATTCTAAGAAGAAGAGAGTTAGCCATACATACCTCAATTGCGCTTCTTTAGACTCTACAATTATCCGGAACCCTTAGCAACCTCAATCTATTTTTGCAATATACAAATTGAACCCATAATTAGGAAAAATGTTCATAGTTCTAGTTCACTTTTTATTTTTCCCACACTCTTTATCACATGCATGCAAGATGAACCACTCTCATACCCATGAAGTATTACCCTAGTACCCCATTATAGCTATGTTTGAAATTAAGAGCTGGGGAGATGAAATTTTACCTTTTTGGATGGAGAAATTGGGTGCTCTACTTGAGTATTTCCAAGCTTTGAGTGATGGTTGAAGATCGATTGATGAAAATTAGGCCCTCCCTCTTGAACCCTCTCTCTCTCACTCTAGAAGTATCAGAAAATGAGCTCAAAATAGACCTAAGGGTTGTTTTAACGGAATGGGAGTCGGGTTTTAAATTAAGAAAAATGGTGCCCCGACACAGGTCTGCGGTTGCATATGCGACCGCATAATGGTTATGCGACCAGTATGCGGTCCGCAAACTTATTCTGCGGTCGCATAATGCACCGCAGAACTCCCTCCGCAGAAACCCAAGAGGAATTATGCGACCGATATGCGGTCCGCATATCGATTATGCGGTTGCATAATCGACCGCAAAACTGATCTCAAATTGGCCAAACTTATTGCTTCACTCTACGGCCATTATGCGGTCCGTAGAGTGATTATGCGGCCACATAATAGGCCGCAGAAATGCGTTCTTCTGCGAAATATTTTCCTCTCAGTCCGTAGGGTACTATTCAATCCAAAAAGTCCGAACCGCGGCGAGCTAGAATTTCTACTAAAATAACGCAGGAATCTAACTTGGCACCACGAAACCCCGAGTTTTTGGTTAAAATTTTTACGGGTCCTTACATCCTCCCCCACTTAAGATCATTCGTCCTCGAATGAGGATCAAGGTTCACTTAACACAGTTTCAGTCATGCCACATATTATGAATCATTTCATCAAGTAAAGAAACATACAGAGAAGATATGCATAAAAGGCATGTATTATTCCGGAGCTAGAATATAGAGAAGATATGCAGTATAAATAAAGTATTCATTCAAGGAGTTTGCAAATAGAGAAGAGATGCAAAGTCCAACCAATGATCAATTTTTCATAATCCACATTAATCAGAAACCCGTCGGTTTCTCACAACCTGTGTGTACACCATCAAGAGATAAACATGAGAGGGTAACCATAGGGGGATGGATCCTTAACCACACGCTACATGGACAATTCACGTACTATAACCACACAGATAACTCGCATGCCATAATCATAACAGCCACATGAATAACTCACGTGCCATCATAACTCAACCCACACGGACCACTCACATGTTGTCAATCCAGTCCATCACACACAAATAATATACAAGAATTCATGTACAAATAACATATATCAAATCACATACTCATGGGTTGAGGAAAATAGCATGCTAAGGTATATGCATGTGCAAAGTGTACAACTACAACTCAATCAGGCGGATACATCGTACAATAGAAAATATCATGCTCAACGGGGAATAAACACCTACACATGAGCTGTAGCATGATTCATAGAGTTCACGTAGTCATAAAAACATATAAAGCACAATAGCAAGAATCACAGTATCTAAATCAAGGCATAGTACAACCTAAAAACTACTCTGGTCATGAATCATACATAGCACTTGTATATACGCTCGTCATCTCACATATAAGTCGCCCCTCACATATTTTAATTAGGTAAACAAAGTCATATCTTAAGGATTATTCCCTTAATAAGATTAGGCAAGATACTTAGCTCATCCAGGCTAGCCTTCAACAATAAATCACGTAAAATCTCTCTCTAGCCTTCCAATAGCGCAAATCCAAGACAATCATCAATCAAGAATGTCAAATAATGTAATTGTAAGCAATCCCGATTCATAAAGCTTCGATATTTGAAGAATTCTCAACAAGTCAACAAAAGTCAATCCGGGCATGCATGCCCGAAATTCGGAACCAATACCAAATCCGATGACCCATAAACTACCGAATCCAAATATATAATTAGATTCCAAAACTGAGTCCAAATCGATACTCAAATCATCAAAATACACTCTCTTAAAGTTTAGTCAAAACCTCAAATTCCATCACAAAATTCCATATTTTGGGTGTTAATAATTTATATAAATTCTTAAAATAATACCATAAATGAGTAAACATCACTTAGCCCAAGGTCTTGTATTAAAATCCCAAGAAAAATCGCCTATTTCCAAGTATATGGATCAAAATATGAAATAATTGGTAAAAGTACCGAAATGACAATTTATAAACTCTACCCAGCGGTACACTTCACGAACGAGACCGCTGCTCTGTGCTTGTAAAGCACAAACCACAACCACTGACCAAATACCTTTGTAATCGTGGCCTCGTGATCGCGATCGTGATAGCCAATAGCCCCCCTCCTTCGCGAATGCGGGAAACACCTTCACGAATGCAAAGGCTTAATCCTGCCCTGCCAGCTCTAATTCTATGCGAACGCGTCATCCAATCGCGAATGCATGACCCTTGGAACCAATATGATGTGAACGTAACTATTACCCTGCTAACATGAAGAACAACAGACCCAGCACCAAAAACACACTTCGCGAACGCATAGCCCTGATCTCTTTCGCGAAGTACAGTGACACCTGCTAAAAACCAGCAACTCCAAACATCACCAAAATGGTTCACAACCACCCCGAATACACCCGAGATCCCTGGGACCTCGACCAATCATACCAACAAGTCCAAATACAGTATCCAAACTTATCCAATAGCTCAAAAAATCATAAATAACATCAAAAGAAAGAATCGAAGATCAAAATTATTCTCTTAACTTTCAAACCTTCAAATTTCGCCGAACGCGACCGAATTACACTTATACATTTCGGATCACAACCAAACTTTACACATAAGTTCCAAACAACTAAATGAACCCAACTGAGGTCTCAAAACCATAATAGGAGTCCAATAACATCGAAGTCATCTCCCGGCCAAATTTATGAACTCTCCCCTTCTTTAAATTGCCAACTTTCAACAAATAGAGCCAAAAACTTCTTACGAACATCCAAATTCAAATCCAAACATAGGCGCAAGTCTAAAAATTTTATACAAAACTATTGAAATAATCAAATCAAAATCCGAGGTCGTTTATTGATAAGTCAAACATTGGTCAACTCTTTCAATTTAAAGCTTCTAAATTGAGAATCACTCTAACAAATCTATCCTGAACCACTAGAAAATCAAAAATAACCACGCACGCTAGTCATAATACACTGTATAAAGCTGCTAAAAATCTCAAATTATAGAATGAAATGCTAGAACTCAAAACGAGTGATCGGGTTGTTACACAAAGGGTATCACAACTGTAGCTAAAATATGTATCTAGACATGAATATTAAAGAACAATAACTATATTTAATAGAAATTAAAGCTTACAAAAGTTTTAATGTAGACGAAGCCAAAAATGGAATATTCTCCGTTAAATCTTCTGCAACAATAAAAAAAAGTATTCAAGAGGAAGAAGATAAAAAGCTGCTCTAGAAAGTGAGATATGTCCACTAGATATCCTAAAGGTTCTATTTATAGGGTCCAAAAAATGTGTGCCAGATTTGAACAAAAATACCCCTCAGAAAGCTTCTCGGTCGCGGAATGGACCATAGAATAGATTTGTGCTCTATATATTTGATGTTGTTGCAGACATAACTTGTAGATCTCGATCTGACACCTCGATGTGATTTTGTGGCGTCACATAATGGATTGCAGATATGTTCTACAGTCTGCAAATCTTCAATTGGTCGGTGCCGAATTGGTTTTACGTGTTGCGTATTATAGAAAAGCGAGCCGCAGTTCGGACTTTTTGGGTTGAACAATCCACTGAATTGTAAAGGAAAATGTTTGGCAGTGAAATGCATAATTGCGGTCCATTATGCGATCACAGAATTACTCTGCGGACCGCATAATGGCCGCAGAGTGAGGCAGTTAATTGGGCCTATTTGGATGAAATTTTGCGATCGACTATGCAACCGCATAATTGTTCTGCGGTTCATTATATGACTATAGAACAGGTCTGCGGGCCGCATAGTGACCGCAGACACGGACATGTTCTTGGCTATTTTGGTCACTGATTATGTGACCGATATGCGGTCCGCATATTGATTATGCGATCGCATATGCGATCACAAACCATGTTTCGGAGCTACATTTTTGGGATTTTTAAACCCGACCCTATTTTATTAAAACACACCCCATGGACCATTTTGAGCATATTTTTTGATATTTTTAGAGTAAGAGAGAGGGTCCTAGAGGGAGAAGTGATCTTCATTAAATTGTTCTTCAATTCTCACTTAAAATCTTGAAGATTATCAAGAGAGGCGCCTAGGTCTTCTTCCTACGAGGTAAGATTCTATCACCCAAACTCTTAATTTTAAAATGTAACTAGAATGGGCCATTAGTAAGGTAATTCATGGGGATGAGAGTGCTTACTTTGCATGCATGTGTTCCTAAGGTATGTGGGAAATTTGTGAGCTAAAAATGATAGAGAATGGGTTGGGAAAAGATGGAATCTTCCACAAAGAGGGGCTTAAAACATTGATACACACCTAGTGTTTGATAATATACTCAAATGAGCTAAAACCATGTTCATCTTCCTAATTTTGGTTCAATTTTATTATATTGCTAAAATAGATTGAAGTGGCTAATATTCTGGAACATCTTAGAGTTTTAAGGAGCTCAATTAAGGTATGCTGTCTAAACCCCCATTCTTCTTAGAATCGAATCCCACGGCGTTCATGTAATTAGAGTAAGTCCTTGATCATTATTGAATTGGCTTTTCCTAATGTGGTTGTGTTGAAGGATGTGTTGTTCAATGTGTATGCTAAATGCTTCATCATGTCATCTTACCATTTGAGAATATGTTCAAAATGTGGAATATGTGTTAGGAATGTTAAGGCTTCATGTCAAGATTGAAATAAAAGTTGTTGTGCCAAATTGTATGAAAAGCCTCTATGTGCCTAAGATTCCTAAATTGCTCATATGTGAATTTAATGTCTTGAATGGGAAGCCTTATTATTGTTGATAATGATATTGAATGTGGAAAAGGGGTCTGGAACTATGGAATACGGCCAAGTGCCAAGAATGACTTTGTAATTATTAAGAAGTACAATGTGAGATGATTTACTAATGAAATTGTGGTAATGTATCAAATGAGATGGCCTAACCGATCGGGCTGAGATCGGACTCCGTGTAAGAACATGGTGATATTGTGGATGCAACTGTGGTAATGTCTCAAATGAGATGGCCTAGCCGATCGGGCCGTGATCGAACGCCATGTCGCACACATGGTGGTACTGTGCTGGAAAGTTGTAATGAAATTGAGGTAATGTCTCAAATGAGACGGCCTAGCCGATCGGGCCGAAATCGGACTTCGTGTAAGAATACAGAGGTATTGTGAATTATGAAATATCGGTACTAACGATCACCCAATCTAATAATATGAAAATTGACTTGGAAAACGTATATGATCATTAACTTGTTATTTTAATATTATTTGATTCTTGACTGTTCCTCTTGTATTATTATTATTCGTTCTATTGAGTTGGTGTTTAGCTATACATACTAGTGCTATTCGACGGTACTAACTTCCCTTTTACCGGGGGCGCTACATCTTTAAATGGATGCAGGTGGTTATATAGCAGACAACGTTGATCGTAGATAGTGTTGCATCCTCTTCTCAGCGGACTCGGTGAGCCCCATTTCATTCTGGGGTCATGTATTGTACCTTTTGTTTATATTATGGTCACTTTTGAGGTATAGCCGGGGCCTTGTTGCCGGCACCATCCTTACTCTCTTTTGTATCTTTAGAGGCTTCGTAGACACTATGTGGGTTGTACATGGGTATTGGAAATGTTAAACAGGTTATGTTGTGTTTGATCACTTGTTCCACTTGAACTATAAGAAATGTGTATTTTGAGACTTAAAGGCGCAATGACTAATGAAATGATTTAGGATTGTATGAATGAAACTCCTACTGTATAATTAATGAAATCACGTCTTCTCTTGATCATGGGTTAATTGGGTAGAAAGTATCTAACATGCTTGCTCGGCCGGGTTCACTCGGTTGAGCGCCGGTCGCGCTTCCCGAGGATGGGGCGTGACACTGGTGTAGGATGGATCCCGAATAAAGCGTAGCCGATAATAGAGATTTAGAGGTTTGACATCGGATAGAATTTAATGAGCAGCCGTTATAGAGAATATTTGCATTCAAAGCCAGCCGTTATACACCCATCAATGACGCTTTTATTCTCATTCAAGAGACGCTTGATTTGTGGACCTTGTCTCCCGCAAGAGAGCTATAAATAAGAGGATTTACAACTATTGTAGGACATAAAATATTCTGCACACTAAGCCGTACTTTACTATTTTACGCTCAATCTAATAGCTTTATCATCGCTTTATCATTGCTTTCACTTCTGTTCTCAGAAAGACCGAGTTCGGAGTCAGGCTTGTTATTTTCTTTAATTTCAGCCATTAATCTTATTTTTGTTCTTATTTTCTTTATCTATAAACTACGCTATAAATCCAACTGTACGGATAAATAAAATTATTTTAAAATTAACTAATCGCGTGAAGTACAAACAATTTTACTAGTAATTGATATTACAGGCGTATATTTTGCCCTTTTCCGTAAATAAAGCAGTATGTAACTCGTCATTTGGTTGGGGCCCAAAGCCAGGCTGGTCCCGGAAAGGAGATTACTACCCAATTAATTAAAAATAATTGCAAACTGCTATTAGGAGTATTAGATTAGATTTGCATAATCAATACCAGCGCGTCCTCCTCCTCCTTTCTCTCTCTCTCTCTTCCCCCTCTCATCGCTCATTCTTTCTCTCTCTCTCTCTCTCTCTTCCCCCTCTCATCGCTCATTCTCTTAGGGTTACAGAGGGGGCGCCGGTTTTTTGTTCTGTTAGTCGCAATCTTTGCAAGTTTCAGGTAATTCACTCTATTTTTCTTTGCAATAAAATACTTTATTTATTTATTAAAAATGGAATAGGGTTCTATGAAACTGATGATTTTGATGCTTAATCTATGACTTTAACTGATCTATTCGGTTGTGGTCCAATTTCTAACTTTGATCTTCTTATTTCCATGTGTCATTGTTTTTTACTGCATTCAGTGGACTGATTTTTTTGGTGGGACAAACCCAAAGAATCCTTTTTGACTGCAATCTGAAAGCTACTTAGATCGGTAGCAGCCTTAGTAAATACATTTAACTTTTCGAGGTTACGGTCTCATGGGCCTCGGACTAGATGCATTTGTGTGAGCTCATTGCTATATATCCACTGTAATTTATAGTAATAATTTCAAAGTCTGCAGCTCCTTAAACTGCTTTGGTGAGTCTTTAATCTTTGACTGGTTTGCATGATGGACGACGGATGCTGATTGGTTTGGAAGTTGTAGACTTGCTTTTGGTTAAGGGTCTGATCGCAAAATTTCACTATTCATGGTACTCAACTTTCTCAAAAGATTCAATTTTGAGTCCATTGTCAGGTTATATCTAGGCTTTAGGTGGATTTTCTTGGTTCTTCAAATAGTTTTCTGTATTTATCTCTTTCTTTAGCGGTTATTCAGTGGACATGCATTTGGCACTGTTTGCAATTACTACATTTAGACTATTTTTAATTGATCTAATGCTCTTCTTTATTCAGCAGCACAGCCTCTACTCTATTTCTTTGTTTCTTTCCTTTTATCTGGCTGTACATTGACTTTAACATTTTTATGATATTCTAATGGATTGAGGGATAATATTAGTTTCACTGCATTTTATTATGATTATACCGTGAGTCTTAACCTATGGAGGATGGTGTCGTTACTTGCAGTAACAATATAGCAATGGAAGTCACCCAGTTTCTTCTCAATGCTCAATCAGTTGATTCAGCAGTACGAAAACATGCTGAAGAAACATTGAAACAGTTTCAGGAACAAAATCTTCCTGGTTTCCTGTTGTCTCTATCTGGAGAGCTTGCTAGTGACGACAAGCCAGTTGATGGTCGTAAGCTAGCAGGTTTAGTACTAAAAAATGCCTTGGATGCTAAGGAACAGCATACAAAATTTGAGCTTGTGCAGGGATGGCTCGCACTCGATGCGGCTGTCAAGAACCAGATTAAGACATGTTTGTTACAGACCCTTTCTTCTCCTGTGTCTGATGCTCATTCAACTGCTTCACAAGTCATCGCCAAGGTTGCTGGCATTGAGCTGCCCCAGAAGCAGTGGCCTGAACTGGTTGGGTCACTCTTGTCGAGCATTCACCAAGTCCCTGCACATGTTAAGCAGGCTACTTTGGAGACTCTGGGATATTTATGTGAAGAAGTCTCTCCTGATGTTTTGGACCAAGATCAAGTAAATAAAATACTTACAGCTGTAGTTCAGGGTATGAATGCAGAAGAAGGGAACAATGATGTGAAGCTTGCTGCTACCCGAGCATTGTATAATGCTCTTGGGTTTGCTCACGCAAATTTTAACAATGACATGGAGCGTGACTTCATAATGAGAGTTGTTTGTGGGGCCACTCTATCTCCAGAAGTAAAAATTCGGCAAGCTGCTTTTGAATGTTTAGTTTCAATTTCGTCAACTTACTACGACAAGTTAGCTCCATACATCCAAGACATCTTCAATATTACAGCAAAGGCTGTTAGAGAAGACGAGGAGCCTGTTGCTCTTCAAGCCATTGAATTCTGGAGCTCAATCTGTGATGAGGAAATTGATATCTTAGAAGATTATGGGAGTGATTTAACAGGAGATTCTGAAGTTCCTTGCTATTATTTCATCAAGCAGGCTCTCCCTGCACTTGTCCCTGTGCTATTGGAGACACTTCTTAAGCAAGAAGAAGATCAGGATCAGGATGAAGGTGCATGGAATCTTGCAATGGCTGGAGGAACTTGCCTTGGTTTGGTTGCCAGAACAGTAGGGGATGATATTGTCCCACTTGTTATGCCATTCATCGAAGAAAACATTACTAAGCCTGATTGGAGGCAGAGAGAGGCTGCCACTTATGCCTTTGGTTCCATTTTGGAAGGTCCTTCACCCGACAAGTTAACACTCATTGTCAATGTTGCTCTGAATTTCATGCTTATTGCATTGACAAAGGATCCTTATAGACATGTGAAGGACACCACGGCATGGTCACTGGGAAGGATATTCGAGTTCCTTCATGGTTCAACAGTTGAGACTCCAATTATTACTCCAGCAAACTGCCAGCAGATTGTAACTGTTCTACTTCAGAGTATGAAGGATGCTCCAAATGTTGCTGAAAAAGCCTGCGGTGCTCTTTATTTTCTTTCCCAAGCTTACGAAGATGTGGGCATACCATCTCCCTTGACACCTTTTTTCCAGGAAATTGTGCAATCTCTTCTTACAGTTACACACAGAGAAGATGCTGGTGAGTCGCGACTTAGGACTGCTTCATATGAGACGTTGAACGAAGTTGTTAGATGTTCAACAGATGAAACAGCTCCCATGGTTCTGCAACTTGTTCCCATCATTATGATGGAGCTCCACCAGACTCTTGAGGCTCAAAAGCTTAAAACTGATGAGCGAGAGAAGCAGAGTGAGCTGCAAGGTCTTCTGTGTGGATGCTTACAGGTCATTATTCAGAAACTAGGAGCATCAGAGCCATCAAAATATGTTTTCATGCAGTATGCAGATCAGATCATGAATCTTTTCCTCAGGGTTTTTGCATGTAGAAGTGCGACTGTGCATGAGGAAGCCATGCTTTCTATTGGAGCCCTTGCCTATGCAACCGGCCCTGACTTTGCCAAGTACATGCTTGAATTTTACAAGTACCTCGAAATGGGCCTCCAGAACTTTGAGGAATACCAAGTATGTGCGGTCACAGTTGGTGTCGTGGGTGATATATGCAGAGCATTGGAAGATAAGATCCTACCTTATTGTGACGGTATAATGACTCAGCTTCTCAAGGATCTATCAAGTAACCAGCTGCATCGATCTGTGAAACCTCCAATCTTTTCATGTTTTGGTGACATAGCCTTGGCTATAGGAGAGAATTTTGAGAAGTACTTGATGTATGCCATGCCTATGCTTCAGAGTGCTGCAGAGCTGTCCACTCACACATCTGGTGTTGATGATGAGATGATAGAGTATACAAATCTTCTGAGAAATGGAATCTTGGAGGCTTATTCTGGCATATTTCAGGGCTTCAAAAACTCACCTAAAACACAGCTGCTGATTCCTTATGCACCTCATATCCTGCAATTTCTTGATAGCATTTACGTGGAGAAAGACATGTAAGTATTGCATGATTGATTCTACATTGCGTTTTAGCTCTAGAAGTCATTGGTGGTCTGATATTTTACATCTGCCCCATTTTTTGACAATTTCAGGGATGATTTGGTGATGAAAACAGCTATTGGGGTTCTGGGAGATCTAGCAGATACTCTTGGCAGTAATGCTGGTTCTTTGATTCAACAATCGCTTTCATGCAAAGACTTTTTGAATGAATGCTTGTCATCAGATGACCATATCATTAAGGAATCCGCTGAGTGGGCCCAGATGGCCATCAATCGTGCTATTTCAGTTTGAGGCTGTGCCACTTGGTACATACTTTTTCCTTAGAAGTCCTTGCATGCATATGGTTACGTTGAGTAGGTCCAAGATTGCATTCATGCCAAGTCATTGCCATTTTCTTGACAACGGAAGGAATTAACCTTCAAGTTGTCATTTACTGATGCACCGCTTCTTGAGTTTGCGATTTGGGGGGGGNGTTGCTACTATATGCTGAACACACAGGTCAAGCTGCTGGGTTTGTTGGTTTTCTTGTGGGTCTACCTTGTTTTCAAAGAAGAAACCCCCCATGCCATCCTTGTGCTGCCATCTTCTCCACGGGCTTTAAGGGACAGGATATGTGAGTCCTTAAGTTTTGGCAGGTCATGTACTTAAAGCCAAAGCTTCCTTTGATATTGTTCCATATGGCTTTTTTTTTTCCGGGTCGGTCTGTCATTGTATTGGTCTTATTCTAGCTGCATTTACTGCATGTATTTTTACAGTCAAATTGCACACCATCTCATTCATATTTTTTTTGGTGCATATAATAGTGCTGGTTCCACTTTTTATTCATGGCATTCCATGTGCGTCCTTCATATTCTACTTTTTCTTGGTTGTTTACAGCAGTAGGCGTTTTTGCAAGTCAATATTAGAAATACAGTGCATCCACTATGTATGCTTTGCTCTTCTTGCTGTTAAAAGTACAGGTTTTTCCTTTGAAAGGATCATGTGCTTGGCTGTATCGTGTATGTTTTATAGAGCATGATATTTAAATTTTACAAACTCTGGTGGCATGTAAGACATGCTAAATTGATTGAATAGTCACATGTAAGACATGCTAAATTGATTGAATAGTAGGCGACTTGCCATTTCAATGACATTCAGTTTTCAAATGTTCCATTGCCTTCCGATGCACTTTCGACGGTGCTGAATCTCTTGGTGTCTACTATAATCCTTACGCTTGTATCTTACAATCAAACACAACCCACTTATCGTTTTCTATAATCTCAGTTCTTGATCTTTAAAAGAAAATACTCTTTTTGCGAATAGAAACTTAACAATTATGCTCGAAATGTGTTCCATCGTCAACTTCGTGTTATCCTCTAAAGACCAAAAATGGTGCGACTATAACAACTAGTAAGAATTCTGGACCTAGACACCATTAAGAGCCAGAAAGATCCGAACACGTGATAGCATTGACATATATTCGATTTTTTGCAGTGGCTAGACATCAATAGTTCAGAAAATAATCTCTGGATAAGAGGACCGTCTCAAACGCCATATTTAGAGCCCGTTTGGACATAAGAATTTTCACTTTTTTTTTTTGAAAATTTCACTTTTTTTCGAAATCAGTGTTTGGCCATAAAATTTTTAATTTTCACTTGAAGATAAATTTTGGAATTTTTCGAAAATTTGAAGAATTCCAAAAAACTATTTTTTAAAATTTTCACTTAAATCACTCACAAAATTTTAAAAACAACCCAAAATTATATTCATGTCCAAATACAACTCTAATTTTCAAATATCATTTTCACTTGAAATTTCTTTTCACTTTTATTGGAATTTTACGATTCTTATGTCCAAACGCCCACTTAATTGGATGATGTGATTCGAACACTTAACAGGGCAAAAGTGCAAAGATGTGATCTCACTATCAAAATTGTAAATGATATCTCACACAGGCAACAATATGAGACAGGCAGAGAACCAGTTGATGATGAATTACGAAAAATGTTGAAAAGCTAACTTCTTGAGTTTTCGAACTGGGAATAGGGGAAAAATTGGAAGAAAGTACAATAAAAAAGAAAAATAATGGGCGTATATCTTGTTTATTTTATTTTATTTTCTTTTGCAGAAAATGGACGATGGGCAAAATGATGGGTTGGAGGAGCAATGATGGTCAATGGAATTGGGCAAGGGACACAAATAATCAATTTTGGGACTGTTGTTTAAGTTATAGCCGGAGTATGCAAATTTTTCAGAACAACTTCAGATATACTAGGTTGAAGTTGCAAAAATCTATATCAAAAGTTACAAATTTTATCTAAGGTTAGTAGGTCACATACATGACAACTTCAGCCACATATGACTAAAGTTCAGGCATTTTTGCATGCACATCAACCACATATGGTTGAAGTTCATGCATTTTTACATATAATTCAATCACAAATGGCTAAAGTTTAGCTATTTTTTATGCACTTCAACCATATCATTTTTGCATGCACTTCTGTCACATATGACTACAATTCAACCAATTTTTACATGCACTTCAATCATGTGTTGTGTGGTTGAAGTATAAACACTTACGCCTGATGTTAATCCTAAGTAATCTATTTTAAAGAGCACATCTTAGTCATTCTCCTGAAGGGACATAAACTGCCTGCGCAAGGACCACGAGAAGGTTAATTGCCCAAATGCGGAGACACGAGCTTGCACCTAAAGTGAAATCAATTAACTGTGTCACACATGACTGGAGTTCATCCAATTTTTGCATGCACTTCATGTCACGACCCAAACTAACCCCTGTCGTGATGGCGCCTATCGTGGTACTAGGCAAGCCGACTCATTCTAAAACAAACCGATATTTTTCATTTCAAGGATAATTCCAAAGCTATTTAGCTTAAAAACCTTTGTAAATGAGTTCAAATCAAACAAAAGTGCGGAAAAGAAAAGCCCGACATCGGGGTGTCACTAGTCATGAGCATCTACTACAATCTGTCTAACATTATCAAAGCTAACTCAGCCTGAAAAATAGCTAAATACAACTAGAGGAAGATAAGAGAGAGAAGAGCAGGGGCTGCGATCGCCAAACAGCTACCTTGCTATCTCCGAGAAAATCTGCAACCAGAATAATCAACAACCGCTACCGTGTCTAGCTACACCTGGATCTGCACACAAGGTGCAGGGAGTAACGTGAGTACGCCAACTCAGTAAGTAACAATAATAAATAAAGACTGAGCAGTAGTGACGAGCAATAAAGCATATAACGTTTATATCATGAAATCTCAGTAAAATACCTCATGCTTTTAAAATCAGGATTTGAATCAAAATATCTCGTTTAAACCCAGTTCCAGTAAAAATTATTTAAGGATATTTTTCAACAGTTTTCAAACAGAGGAAAAATGCAAAGGTGAGCAAAAATAATGAAATCATAAACAACTTCTCAGGCAAAACATCACTCGTATACAGCCCCTCAGGCAAACCTCACACTCACTCGTGCCACTCGGGCATACCTCACAATCACTCACGCCACTCGGGCATACCTCACAATCACTCATGTCTCCCAGTCACTCAGCATTCAGCACTTGCACTCAGTAGGTACCTGCGCTTACTGGGGGTGTGCACAGACTCCGGAGGGGCTCCTTCAACCCAAGCGCTATATCAAGCCAAATCATGGCATAAATCATTCAGGCCCTCGGCCTATATCAAACATGCTGCGGCGTGCATCCCGATCCCATAAATATCCTCACAAATCAGGCCCTCGGCCTCACTCAGTCATAAACCTCTCAAGTCACTCGGGCATTTCAGTAAAAACAGGGCATTCAGCCCAAAACAATATTTATGCATCAAAATAGAGTCATAAAACTGAGTTATGCAGTAAACGTCGTGGTTTGGTTGGTTTCGGCATCGGTTGCCGAATTTAGAAATTTAGAAGTTCTTAGGCTTGAATCCGAGGGTAATTTGGTGTTTTGATGTTGTTTTGAGTGATTCAAAGGTTCGACTAAGTTTGTATGTTGATATATGACTTGTTGGTATTTTTGGTTGAGGTTCCGAGGGCGTCGGGGTGATTACGGGTGGTTAACGGATTTGTCGAAGTTGGAAAATGCAGCTGAAGCTACTGCTACTAATATTTACGCACCTGCGGAAAGGAAGTCACAGGTGCGGGGTCGCTGGTGAGCATGGAGGTTCGCAGGTGCAAGCAATGTTGGGCTAGGCAGGATGCGCAAGTGCGAGAAGGCTATCGCATCTGCGAGCCCGCAGGTACGAGACCCAGGGCGCAGATGCGCAAGGAAGGAAGAAGGCTGTCTTCGCAGATGCGGCGCACCACGCACAGGTGCGCAAGCGCATGTGCGACAGGTTTGCCGCAGATGCGGAACCTAGGCATTAAGTGACTTGCACAGGTGCGATTGTTGTGACCGCATGTGCGGTCGCGCGGGTGCAAGTAAAAGGCCGCATGCGAGAAGCCTGGGCAAAAGGTACATATTGCACACTTCGCGAATTTTGGTGCATTCTTCACCATTTCTATTTGGTTTTGGAGCTTTTGGGAGAGATTTAAAGAGGGAATCAAGGGGGTTTTCATTGAGATAAGTTACTTGATCCCTAATACTCGTACATATGGTGATTTTTCGTTTTTTAATCATGTAATTAGTGAAAATGAGGGGTTAGGGCATGTGATTTTTGGAGAAGTAATTTAAGGATTTGAAGGACCAAACGATGTCGGATTTTGATGAATATAGTATGGTTAGACTCGTGAGTGAATGGGCTTTCTAGTTTTATAAATTTTGTCAGATTTCGAGACGTGGGCCCAGGGGCCGAGTTTGAGCCAATTTCGGATTTTGGGCTAATTTGATAGTTTTTCTTGTGGAATTCATTCCATTAGCATATATTGATGGTATTGTACTGATTGTGAATAGATTCGGAGCACTCAGAGGCCGAGTCCAGAGGCAAGAGCATTGCGGGGTAGAGATTTGACCGGGTTGAGGTAAGTAACAATTGTAAATCTAGTACTGAGGGTATGAAACCCCGAATTTTTGTATCATTTTACTATTTTTGAAGTGACGCACATGCTAGGTGACGAGCGTGCACTATTGGGGATTGTGACTTGGTCCATCCCATAGCAACTGTGAAGTTTCACATTTTGTTGAAGCTATATGATACTTATATGTTTTAGAAAGAGTTTCTATAAATTGGGCTGAAAGCCATGTTTTGGGCCTTGTGCCAGTGTTGTTTGGACCCTTAGGGGCCTTTTCTTACTCCTCTCACTGTTTTCGATTGAAAATCTATACTCAGTCATGGTTATACTTGTTTACTACATAACTCAGTTTTATGACTCTATTTTGATGCATAAATGTTGTTTTGGGCTGAATGCCCTGTTTTTACTGAAATGCCCGAGTGGCTTGAGAGGTTTATGACTAAGTGAGGCCGAGGGCCTGATTTGTGAGGATATTTATGGGATCGGGCTGCACGCTGCAGCATGTTTGAAATAGGCCGAGGGCCTA